AATACTCTAACTCCGGCGCCGAGGTAAAGCTAAGAGTAGTAGTGCATTCTGAAAAGCTATTTATGGGTTGTTGCAGGGAAGTCGCTAAAAGACCACCGTACGCCGTTACCGAACGCAACTTGCAAGGGTACCCTCGCACTAAAATGTTCAATGTCGAGCACTTCCAAGGTTCCTTCTCGTGCCGTGCAACAATCAAGACAGAGATCTTTTTCTATTTGCTACCTGAGAAAGGCCGATTGCGGCCATTCTCACGATTACAGCGCCAACCCGTACGGCTGTCCGTAATCCTTAGTACTCATAGACCCAAGATCTATGCAGTCGCTGAGATCTATGCCTCGACTGCTTCCCCGGCCTTGACTGGCGTATCAGCCATGAGCTGAATGAGAGAGCGTACGACCTCTGCGGCGGCCAGGCCGGTCGTCTCTCCGGAATTGTCGTAAACAGGTGAAACCTCGACCACATCGGCTCCCACTATTTCGATCCCGCTCAGACCATCGAGGATGGTGAGCAGTTCTCTGGTGGTGAATCCTCCCGGCTCCTGTCGTCAAGTCAGTAGGCGGCGAAGCTTCGAACCTCCATCTGGACTCACAGCTGTGCCAGTCGCCGGCGCATAGCTTGGATCAAGAACGTCAATGTCCACCGAGATGTAAACTCGAGTTCCGGCAGTTCGCTCAAGCAACCTGTCGATGAAACCCGCCATGCCGAACCTGTCAAGGTCTCTGGCTGTCAAGATGTGGAAACCACAAGCCTTGTCGTTTTTGAGGTCGAACTTGGCATTGGACACTGGAGCCCGAATGCCCGCGTGGATCGATGAGTTACGAATGAGTCCCTCTTCGTGGGCTAGAATTTGGTCAGAACAATGACGACCGGGGTAGGGCCGTACGCATGTGTTCACTTGAACATACCTATATGGAGAAAGGTCCCGTGATTGACTCCACTTAWCCATCGGTCGTCAGTCAGGGGCGAATCGAAAGTTCGCACGACACTACTCACGCGTAGTGAGAAATACCACCTCCCAGAACCTTGGGGTCCCACGTATCGAGATGAGAATCGAAGTGAATGACACTGACTTGTCCAAAGTGTTTGAAAGTTGATCTCAAAGCCGGCAATGTCCTGGATAGAAGAATGATATGATCAGCATCGTCACTGGAGATTGTAACGCTGCCTCACGTGGTGTGGTCGCCGCCTAAAGTGATCAAGCGAGGTACGCTGTAGGTCGAATCATTTGTGGCCCGACCTGAGATGATCTAATTCGAATAAGTGTTTGAAAAGTTGTCTCGAGAAGTACGATTACCTCATGCGCTCTGTCGAGCTGTCTCAACGCAACGGTATTGTCCTATTCCATATGAGTCAACAACTCCGAACACAATCACACTGTCCTTGACACGCACGAGAAAAGTCAACGGCACGTCACCACAATCAACTATCTTCAACCCTTGCAAGAAGGGATTCTTCCCCGAGTACACGTCGTATGAGAACTGCGGCCTGATTCTTCTACTGCCCTGTCGTATTCCACCGGGCTAAGGGCGAAGGGTGGAAGGGTCAGCGATGTCTCAGAAAAGTACGATGCGGCCCAAGACCTGGGTAGCCAGAGATGCATCTTCAAACTACCCAGCAGTCTTCGGTTCTTTGATTTGCTTACTCCAAAGCGCGTCCCGGGTCTTCCCTGTGTAGAAATCAGTCAGTATTWTTCGCTGTTGGAGCACGCTCTCAACGGGTCAAAAGAGACTTGAACCAGACGATATCATCGATTCACTTAAGCCGTTGTGACACTGTGATACGCCGAGACCTTACCTCGGCAGGGCGCATGACTTACAGTTGTAGCCTTTGTCAAAAGTCAGCCTTCATTCTACTTACACTTGGGAAGCRAGAAGCAAGAGGTATGTCAATCAACTCACAGTATCGAACGGGGCTCCCAAAATCGCAATATCATATTTCTCCACCTCGCCTCCTTTCTGGAGACAATGAACATATGGTAGATTGGCAAAGGTAGTCAATCCCGCATAAAGTGCCTGGCTGACATCCTCTTCCAAGCCCGGGACCTGTGCGACCATGGGATATTGAAGCGCAGCAACGGGAGGGAAGTTGATTTCTCGAGCGGACCCGAGAGTGGCCAGCRCGACGCCAAAAAGAACCGTGTGAGTCAGCATTATTGTGAGATGGAGGGGCATATAATAACAGAACACAGCTTCCAGTGTTGCGTGCGTCTGGCGTGATGGGTTGTTTTGTTTGGCAGCTTTATCTTTCTCTCTTATCGTTCTTTCGTTACGAACGCCGGATACCACGGAGTTCGGATCTGGGTCTGCGTGACGACTTACTCGAGTAAGCAGGTCTATGCGAGTGACAATCCTTGTGCGACTAGGTTGACAACGATTTAAGCGAATGGCTCTGTGTACAAAAGCAGAAACGGAACACGATGGATGACGCTACAAATTTCGTCGATTTATTAACTGAAACCGTATCTCCTGTTGAAACCATGAATGTCCATCATTCGTCTGTAGCATTGATGACTCCATTCCATTCGTACTCATACTCATTTTTCTGCAGAACCAGGACCAAAGCGTGCTGCAGTTCTTCGCATCTTGGGGTATATTGCGCTATATCACTCAGTACAGCTTGTGCTCCAAAGTCATGTCGTTCTCGGCTTCCAATCCAACACATGCTCGCATGATGTTGATGAGGGCACTGCGCTGCTTGGCAAGTGAGTTGATCACTGGTGCACCTGGAGGTGTCATGGGTGCCTTGAGCATGTAGCTGAGAACGCTCAAGACGCTGTGGAAGTTCTTAAAGTCCGACTCGCCGTCGCGGCGCCATTGTATCCGGGTCATCAACTCTGTGATCAACACCAAATCGATGATGAGTGGCGAAGCAAGGAGTGAGTCCTCACATACGTTGAAAATGCTGATGGTCTGGTGGCCACCGAGAAAGATCTCGGCGTAGTACTCGTCCATTGCACGCTTGTTGTCACCAACGGCAGGCATGTACTTGATCACGACGGTGTGATCAGGGTGCTCATCCTTGGCGTACAAGACGTTGTTGGCAGCGACCATGTCATCGACAACATTCGACTTGCTGATCTCCTTGGAACGGAACTGCTTTTGAGACGACAAATTCTTGCCATCGTTGTTTCCGAGATGGTTGTAGCTTGCAATGGAGGTAAGTTTGATTCCAGCGTTGATCAAAAAGTCAACAAGAGCAGACTTCATCTTTGTCTGGCCGGACTTGAAGTCATCACCACCAATGAAGGTGTTGTGCTGCTCGGCAAGCTCGATGCAGCCTGGGACGAAGGTGTTTTGTGGCGAGCCGTTGATGAATGGGGCGCCTTCAAGAATACTAGCAACAGCGAAGACCGTTGAAGGAGAGACCTCCTCATGACCGCTGGCGATGGACTTCATGAGGTTCTCGGCAGTGTCGTTCACACCAGGCAAAAGGTCTGCAATACGTTCCGTGTTGGCAGTCCAGAGAACAATGACCTTGTCGAGTCCATTGTTCGCCTTGAAGTCACGGATATCCTTGCGGAGGTGTTCAACGTGCTCGTTGGAGGCCTTGGAACCAGGGATGAGGTTGTCTGCCCGGTCGCCTTGGTTGGCGGCGATGAAGTCGGGGTAGTAGATGCTAGGAAGAGGCGTGATTGCTGCCATCTCCTTCTTGACCATTTCTTTCAATGTGGGCTCGAGAACCTGAGCCCGGTCCATAGCCGCAGCAAGATCCATACCACTGATGTCCCAACCGCCGATGACMAAGTCATTGGGGTGTGCCATGGGTAGCATGCCTTGAAGTGGGATGTTGACATCTTCGCCAGTCTCGGAGTCCATTCCGAGCTTGACGGTCGATGACATGACAACAGATCCGTAGTAGTTTGCTGCTCGTGGGCCCTCACGGGTCTCCCATACAAGCTTGCGGCGGTTGGCGAGGATACCCGCGGTGACTGTCGTGCCGTTGTTACCTCCTAGACCGACGAGCATCATACCGACCTTGCCGACATGACGCTTGGTCTTGAAGTCGTAAAGAGCCTCGTGCGGTGTGGCCACAACCTTGCCGCCTGTGCGTTTGACCTTTGTGGTACGGTAGTGGTACTTGCTGAGGATATCTTCGTCATTGTATGTGACGTTGGAGGCTTCGACGGTGTATCCAGAAGCTGCCGCTTCTCTTGACGCCTCGACTGCGATACCAGTAGCAGGGGCGTGTGTGTCGTCTGCGTGAGGAGCCATGGTCTGGCATGCAAGGTCAGTATAATTCCGTTAAATGCTGGCTGAGCCAAACATACTGCYAGGATGGCAAGTTCGTGTGAGGCTGGGGTGAAGAATTAGCCGACAGAATGTAACCGAGACAAGACTGTTCGAGTCGACAATAGTGTTTCCTGGTGTAAAAAGATGTTCTTCAAGGAAAAACTTCTGGGGGGAGATGAGAGAAAGGAACCAGAAAAAGGACGAGGGAATCCCAGCTTTTAAGACGACAGCTCACAGCTCCCTCGATCATGATAGCGCAATGTTTCGGCTTCCGCTGCAGATTTTGTTGAGGTGGTTTGTAGACTACGGCGTATCGTTGTTGCTGGTTGCTGTCCGAGGGAGTGAGCTGTGGTGATCCCAGACGGCGAAAGGTTGTTCCGGTGTCAAGCTGCCCGTGGGGATCCTGGGGCGAGGGTACCCCTCCTCAAACTCTACCTATACGCTTTGTGCCCTTTCTCAACTCACTTCGACTGACATTTGATTGTGAGCACGGCGTGATTCCGAATAACCAGCAGAGATACATACTCCCATGCAACTTCTCGTGGTCCTTGGTTCCCCAAGCTTGATACTGATCCCTCCGCGTATTCGGGCAGAGCATGTCGTCAAGGAAAGATGGTAGCTCTTCTCCTGGCCAAAGACTAAACAGGACGATGCGTGGGCTGTCATGGCTCAACAGGGACTCAGGAGTGCCTAAACATTGGACACATGGACGTCTTCCAGCCGGCGTTGCTGCTTTGAGAGCCAGGTAGCAGTCTGTCATTGCTCGCGTTGTTATTCTGCGTATGCCCATGCAGATGCACGGAGCCTCGCTGACTCTGACTCTCTGAGGCTTAACAGTCGCAATTAATTAATTAATCATCCTGGCGTTTGATTCTCTAGTCGTGTGCGCACGCTCCTAAACTGGTGGGGCGTCGGCTTTCGTTCATTATGCAGGACGAACAAAGCTTTTTCTTTTGCTGTAGTCGATCGTTGCCCGGCAGAAAAAGACTTTTGCGGTTGCGCCGTCCGGGTCGCGGGCGCCCGCGTGAAGATCGCGGAGACCGGAAGGCTGGGAAGGCTGAAGGCGAAAGAGACGATCATCCCGACTTCGAGCAGACACGCGAGCAGGGTCGAAGGGTCAACGGGTCAACGGCTGTAGGTACCTTTTGGTGAAAGGTTGGTCGAGATTCAGTAGCTCCATGTGACTGTGAATTTTGGGGTTATTATTACAGTACCTGCGGAGGAGTTCGTATTGAACCTAGATCGTTCGTTTGGTGCAACAATCTGGAACGAACGAACGGGTTCTCCACGCGGCGTTCGATGCTCTTTTTCAGCCAGCTTCAGACTGCAAAATTCCGACGCGTTTCGCTTGCCGCAAAGTTGCTGCCATGCGCCTGCAGTCAACACAAGTCGCAGATAAATCATATGGAATCCACTGACACTGATGCCATGTATGTATGTATGTATGTATATTATTGGCACCGTATAAGGTGTTGGTGAGGACGCTGCATATCGGTGAGCTTCGTTATTGGGCCATGATGCCTGCGTGTCCAACGGGTCAAGGCAGCCGAAATGAGCATGCGCGACGGGTTGATCGCTACAGGTTATTCAYAAGCCCGGCGCGTCGCTACCACTTGGAGTCTCAGATTCTCCATCAACCATCCATCCATTCGTTCAAGTCACTCGTTCATCGTACTTTTTGTTACATTAGCAGCAGCATCCCATTCCACGCTCCACAGCACTTGCAGTCTCAATACCCACATCCAACCATCAACATGCGTTACGCCATCCTCGCCGCGCCCCTTGTGGCCATTGTTTATGCGCAGGCCGAGTCTGTGAGTCGAATTTATCTGTGATGATGGTACCCGGCAAGGATGAATGGACTGACGGTGCCATTCCAATGCAGTCCAGCTCCATCTCGATTCCCCCATACTCCAACCCGGCGACTCAATACCTCACCCAGACCAACTCTCTGGGCGTGGTCACTGGACAGCCTACTCTCCCCGGCGGCGGAATTGTCGCCACCTCTATGCCCGCCGTTGACACCCAAGTCGGAACCGTTGCAACCATCCCAGCTGGCCTCCCAACTGGTGGTGAGTCTGGAAAGCAAGAAAGAACCATGGGCGCGGCTAACTCCAACAGTGACGAGCATCCCCATCGCCGTTGGCAACGGAACTACTCCTGCCTCTTACTTCACTATCAGCGTTGGTTCATCGACAACGGTCGTTCTTGGTAAGTCTCGCTGCCTCGCACTCGGCGCGAGGATGCATGCTGATTCTCAAGCAGGCGCCGTCCCCACTGGTGTGAGCGTCTCCGGCGTCAGTGGCACTGCCTCGGGTCCTCGCGGTTCCAACACCGGATCCTCCTCTAACAACAACAACAACAACAACAATGACAACGACAACGACAACAACAACAGCGGCGGCTCCTCTTCCTCTAACAACGACGACCCTTCGTCGACCGAGAGCTCGAGCTCGGATTCTTCCGAGGGCGCCGCGGTCGCCAACAGCATGGTCGGCGCGTCCGGTGCCGTGCTCGGTCTGGGTGCTCTCATCGCCGCAATGTTGTAGCATTGGAATGTGTATAATGAGAATACGGAGATTCTTCAGGGGCGTTGAAAAGAGAAGGGACATGGGGATCTCGGCTACCTTAGTGCGAAGCCCCAGGTATTGCCTTGTGCTCATTTATAATCTTTCGAATTGGATTGGACACGACAGACATTGAAATCGCTCTACGATCTTTCCATTTCCAGTGCAGGCGTCAGTGCAAGCGTACAAGAGCGGGGCAATATTTACGGCTTGCTCTCGCTATGCAGACTGTAAGCCGGGCTCAGCTGACAGCCTCCAGAACTCGCGTTCCGTTGCGGTGCATTGAGCGTTCGTCTGTCTTGTTTACCTCATGTTTGCCCTGGATACGGGCGTCACTCGTCCCTGTCTCCACTTCCCAAGCACAGCTCCGACCTTCATCAACCAAGCTTCACACCGCATCATCACACAAACACAAGATGGACCAAACCACTGCTTTGAAACAATATCTCGCGGACGATCCCCCAACAATTGCACGTCTCGAGATCAAGCCGCACTTTGAAGCTCTATCGAAGCAAGAGAAGAGATATGCTCATTCCATCTGCAGAGCGGCGTTCGCGGGGCATAGAATCAACCTCAGACAGGTTAGCCCGGAGTCGGAAGACATCTACGACTTCATCCTGGCCTTGCACGAGGCCAAGACAGGCGACTGGAAGAAGCTTCAGGCCGAGGCCGGGGTTTCAGATGAAGATCTTCTCTCGTTCTTGAACTACTCAGCTCAGTTCTTGGGAAATGCCGGTGCGAGTTCAAACCCGGATTGATATCGTCTAGGCAGTATATCTTACGTGACATAGGCAACTTCAAGTCCTTTGGCGACAGCAAGTTCATCCCGCGAGCATCACCGGAGAGCATCGCCCGTTTAGCAAAGGCATCACCCACCGCCGAAAAGCTCTGGAACAAGGTCAAAGATGCCGTATTCGACACTTCCTCCGTTGCTGCTCTGCACTTGGGTTACCCCGATGAAGGCCATGTCTCGACCTACTACCCTGACTCGCCAGGCATCACCAAGAAGGAGATCGAAATCGTATCCGACTTTTTGAAAGATCAGAGCCTCATGCCAGAGAACACGCGGTTGCGAAAAACATCATCGGGTGACTTTGAGCTGCTCATCGCGTCGGCCGTGAAGGAGCCTACAACTCGCGACTCGAAGCAGTCGGAGTGGACTCTCGATGGTGAGCTGAAAGGCAAGAAGGTTAAGCTTATCTTTGGAGATCACGCAAAGGAAATGGTAAGCTTGCTCCTTTACCGCGTCTAGTCAACTGTGGTTTGCCTCCTCTGCACGAGTCCACGCATCTGCGACGTCTGTCGATACTAGAACGTCGACGAGGGCAGTGGAGCGATACAGGCGTATCAGTACTCTCATGTCATGCCATGCTCGCTACACATATATCAAGGTGGTTTCAAATTGCATACTAACACGCGTTGTCTCACAGGCCACAATCTCTCATTACATTGCGGAGGCTCAGAAAAACGCCTCGAACAAGGTGGAGGAAGCTATGCATGCGGACTATTACAAGGCGTTCCATGATGGTAGCATGGCAAGTCATGTTGATTCACAACGTCACTGGATTCAAGACAAGGGTACAGTGATGGTGCGCCCCTTCAAGTGACAATGGAATCCTAATACTAAACACAGGTCCCATGGTCGAATCAAACATCGGCTTCATCGAGACGTACAGAGACCCGCATGGACAGAAGGGCGAGTGGGAAGGTTTTGCTGCCATGGTGAACAAAGAACGCACTCGTGCGTTTACCAAACTCGTGGAGTCGGCGCCAGAGAACATTCACAAGCTTCCATGGGGCGCCGAGTTCGAGAAAGACACTTTCCTCAGTCCAGACTTTACGTCTCTGGAAGTGCTAAACTTCGCAGGAAGCGGGATCCCGGCTGGTATCAACATGTGAGCATTCC